CAAATACAAATACAAATACAAATGGCAATCCAATCTCTTCTTTAAAACTTCTAGTGTTGGAGCATTCACAACCTCTGGAGGCAAGTTGTTCCACTGATTAATTGTTCTGTCAGGAAATTTCTCCTCAGTTCTAAGTTGCTTTTTTCCTTGATTAGTTTCCACCCATTGCTTCTTCTCCTGCCCTCAGATGCTTCAGAGAATAGTTTGACTCCCTATTCTTTGTGGCAACCCCTGAGATATTGAAAGACTGCTATGTCTTCCCTAGTCTTTTTTTTCATTAAACTAGCCATGCAACCCCTCTTCATATGTTTTAGCCTCCTGTCCCCTAATCATCCTGGTTGCTCTTCTCTGCTTCCAGGAAAATGGCTAAAACCATCAACATTCCCCTTTTTCCAAAACAATTTTTAGGCAAAACGCTGGTTTGAAGCACATTTGCCATTGTCTTTTAACATCAAGTTATGTCATTTTTCCTCAATTCCATTTTGAGCAACAATAGTGCCCATGTGCTTGGAAATTAACATTACCTATTCTAAGTGTATAAAGCAACTAATTAAAAAATAGTAGGCCTCATTCTGGTATTGAAGCATCCCTTTCCCATCCATTAGTCGATGTTTCAACTTTTTCTCTTTTTTTTTTTCAATTTATAACCCAACCATCTTCCAGGCTTATTCACATTTTCAAAGTTTTGCTTTACACTTTTAATTTTATATGCCAGTTGTTCTTTTTCCAATAAATTCATTTTGTGTTTTATTATATTTATTTGATTTTTCAATTCTTTTTTTTTTGTGAGGTTGTCTCTTTAATTTTATTTCCAATCTTTTTTGTCTTATTTTGTTTCTTTCTCTTATTCTTTTTTCCTATATACATTATTGCTAGTCCCTGTATGCCTTAATGGTATCCATACAGTGTGTAGCGAGATCTTTTCCTTCCTATTCTCTTTTAGGGGAGGGGGATCCAATTCTTTTTTTGGTCTTTTGTATAAATTATTTTTCCTGCAATGTTGCTTGGTTTAACGTCCATCTCCATTTTCTTTTTTGTCCTTTCCATACTATTTTCAATGGATTATGATCTGCCCAGACATTGGGTTTTATTTCTGTCTGTTGTACACATGCTTTCAGTTCTCTTCATAAGGCAAGCTGCACTTTTTAATTCATTTGCTTCCCAAGAACATGCTATGCTGGCTGTGAAATCTGGGAGTTGAAGTCACACACAAGTTTCATGTTGCCAAGATTGAGCAACATTGTTCTAAAATAATTTGCACCTGAAAGAAGTTTATCCTTTATTTTTCTTTACCTTTCAGAATGGCAAAGCAAATTAAATACATGGTTTGAACAAATTATAAACAAGCCAGGTCACTGCCACCAGCCTACTAAAGATTTAGAAAGGAGCCATTCTTCCAAGCAACTCATCATCTATTGGAGCTTTCACAAAAGCACTACTTGATCAATTACACTTGTAATTAGCTTCACTGTGCTTTCTGTGTTGCTATAAATCAATGTTCATGCTTTCCGGAATCATCTACTTCAATATTCCTATTTGTAAGATGTATAAAATTGATTAAGTATAGGGGACCTGACTTGATGTAAGCCCATGATTGTAAACAAAAGTAGTTCAGCCACTTGAAAGGCCATTTCAATGATAAATACTTCATGATGTACAATCTATACGCCACTGGAAGGTAATTGCTTATAGTTCCTCGTTTGCAAATTCAGCATTATTTTATTACATTTAATTAAGATTCTTTGTAACTGAAATGATAGTTAAATGTTATCCTATTAAGCTGATTAAGAACACCTGCAAATGTGTAATTGATCCTCCAATACCCAACTTAATTTTAACTAAAACAAAACAAACTCCAAGCCACAAAAGTGTGTTTTCTTTCTTGAGGACTGTTAGTATGTTTTATACTTTACTTATAAATGTATGGGGATGCGATGGCTCAGTGGCTAAGACACTGAGCTTGTCGATCAGAAAGGTCGGCAGTTTGGCGGTTCGAATCCCTAGTGCTGCGTAACAGAGTGAGCTCCCGTTACTTGTCCAAGCTTCTGCCAACCCAAGTTCGAAAGCATGTAAAAATGCAAGTAGAAAAATAGGAACCACCTTTGGTGGGAAGGTAATAGCGCTCTGTGCAACTTTGCCATTTAGTCATGCCAGCCACATGACCACGGAGATGTCTTCGGACAGCACTGGCCCTTCAGCTTTGAAATGGAGATGAGCATCGTCCCCTAGAGTCGGGAACGACTAGCACCTTTACCTATAAATATATGAATTGCATTCCAATGTATTCTGTATTCTCCCCAGCTCTTCACAAAATGATACCCTTTGTACATCATTCCCATCATTCCAAACACAGTAATAGGTAAGATAAGAACCAGAATATTATGGTAACAAGATTTTTAATTTTAAACATGTCTGAAATTGGTTCTGTGAATAAAACAAAGACAAGTGAATTTATTATCAGGGGTCCCTCACCACAAAACCAAACTATCAAAAACAAATTCAAAATTTTTAAATCAGCTTTTTTCATAAATGAGATATAGTGCAAAAGCTATAAAAGCAGTAGCTTGCTGCAAATAAATCTTTTCACTCTTTAATTTCCAATTTGATCAACAGGAATTTTCATCATTAATCTCCACCATAAATATTTCGGTATAATGTTCATCAGAAAGCTATATTGATTTTTGTACATCCCCCCCCCCGCCTCCCTCCAGGATAAAAGAACTGGAACATCTTTTAATCATCCAGTTTTGGGAAAGATCATTAATCTGTATGCAGATCTTGATGGAAACTGATGCCACCTTGAGTCTTCAGCTTGTTTACTTGTACAATATCAAACAAACTCTACTTTTCCCAGTAAAAATGATGTGCTAGACAGAGCTGTCAAACTCCCGGCCTGTGGGCCAGATGCGTCACGTGCTGGCCACGCCCACGCCCAGTTTAGCAAAGGGGGAAAAAGTCCTGAGACATCACGTGACGCAGCCGTGACATGAGTTTGATACCCCTTTGGGTAGTTGCATTTGTTATTTGTTGCTTGTGGTCTTGTGATAACAATATCTAATTTGGGCTTTCAACTGTCCATAACAGTTGAGGGCAAGCAAAGGAAACCAAAGCGGTTTGTTATGCAGCCAACTGTAAATCAAAACTACTGTGGCACCATGGCCAATTCAGTCATGGTGTGCAGTTTGTTTTTGAAAAGGAGGCACTTGCCAGATTTCCCATCTCCGTTTCTAAAACTGAAACAGGAAAATGAAGGCAGTCTGACGCGAACCAATCCCCCTTTCCTGCCATCGTTTTTATCATCTGAATGGTTCTGGATCCCTAATGAGCTGCACAAAAATTTTAAGATAAAAATTCTAGGTCGCAACTTAACAACTTGAAAATTACCTAGTAAACCTTCAGTTAGGCCAGACGTGTCAAACTCGAGGCCCGCCAATGGCTTAAACCATTTTAAATAAAGATTAACACCACCCCAAGAGCCAGACAAGGCCTTGGTCTTCTGCATTCTTTGTCTTCAAAATGATGCCTCTAAGTCGGAGCCTAACAATTGGCTTGAGAGGGAACTGCTGCTCTTTCTACTTGAGTAGCTTTGGGTCTGGATGCTTTGGTTGGACTGGAGGCCTAGGACCTTCAACCAAGGACCTTCAACAGTCTAGAGCCATGATGGCGAACCTATGGCATGCATGCCACAGGTGGCACATGGACCCATTTGTCAGGGGACGTGAGGTGTTGCCCTGAATGCTGGCCAGCTGACTTCAGCCTTCTTTTGAAGCTCCTGAAGCCTCCAGAGGGGGCGTGGGGCTGTTTTCACCCTCCCCGGGCTCCTATAAAGCCTCTAGAGCCTGGGGAGGGTGAAAAAAGCACACCAAAAATGGGGGGGGGGCACTGGTCGTGCGTGCATGCGCGCTGGGGTCATACGCATAGCAATATGGGTGTGGCATGACTGTGCACGACCCCTCCCCCGCACTCCTCCTTTTGGCACACAAGCCAAAAAAGGTTTGCCATCACCGGTCTAGAGAGAGACTGGGCCAATCCCTGATAAAGCCGTGATGGCAAGCCTGGGCTGAACTCTGCTCTCTTTGCTGCAATATACAGGTAATCCTTGACTTACAACCATTTGTTTAGTAGCCGTTCAAAATTACGACAGTAGAAAAAAGTGACTTGTGACCGTTTTCACACTTACAGCTGTTGCAGCATCCCCCAAAGTCACGTGATCAAAATTCAGATGTTTTAAGCAGCTGGCATATATTTATGGCGGCCACAGTGTCCCAGGGTCATGTGATCCCCTTTGGCAACCTTCTGACAACCAAAGTCAAGGGAGAAGTCAGATTCACTTAACAACCGTGGTACTAACTTAGCATCAACAGCACTTCTCTTCACAATGGTAGGACAAAAGATTGTAAAATAGGGCCTAACTCACTTAACAAACTGTCTCGCTTAGCAGCAAAGGTTTTGGGCTGAACTGTGGTCATAAAAAGGGGGATCTGATTCAATGCTTCAACCACCGGACAATGTCACCTTGGTTCAACTGCTGATCATCTTTGAAACAGCCTGCCTCCTGTGGGTATGACCCTTGCATTTCCCATTAGGATCACAATTTGCCTGGAAAATGACTGCAACTCTAAAGCAAGACAAGAGATCCTTCAGCATTATCAGCAAGCTTGTGTGTTTCAGCTGAGGACTGTCATATCAGTGAGTCAATACAACAGCACAGCTGAAATCAAACACAGTCTTATTTCATATAAGCAGAGCAGGGGTGGGATTGAAAAATTTTAGTTCTCTGCCCAGTTTCTGGGTGGGCATGGCCATAGGGTGGGCGTGCACCATGATGGGGGGAGTTTTCACTCTCCCCAAGCTCTGGAGGCTTTCCTTGAGCGTCTGGGAGGGCAAACACGACGTTCCCCGAGCTCTGGAGACCCTCTGGAGGCCAGAAACAAGCCCGTTTCTGGACTTCCAGTAGGCCTGTTTTTTGCCTTTCTCAAGGCTCTGGGGTTTTTTTTCGAGCCTCCGGGAGGGTGAAAATGGCCTCCCTTGGCTCCAGAGACCAGAAACAGGCCCATTTCCAGACTTCCGGTAGGCCCAATTTTCACCCTCCCAGAGCCTCCACATGGGCCTTGAACTTACTTGGCATCCAAATGGCGTGGAGACTCCTGGGAGGGGAGGCCAGACCTTGTAACTACCAGTTTGGCGAACCAAATTAAATTAACATCCGGTTCACCCAACCGGGCCTAACTGTTTGAATCCCACCCCTGAAGCAGAGGGACAAATTGGATTTGGTTGATTCTTTTAGCAGGGTTTTTGTTTTGTTTTCAAATTAGTGAACCACATTTTTCACTTTGCAGAGTAAATCAGCTCCCCAGATTTCTCATTATTAACTATTAGTAGCTTTTGTTTCTGTCAGCTACATTATGCAAAGTGTGTTTGCCCTGCCTATCCTTATTACTAGCATGCTTTGCTGCTCAAATACAAACAGCAGGATGTTAGCACTACAGACTGCTTTTACCCCCCAAATACAAAATCTTAGCAGGACAGTATGAAACCACAGAATTTATTAGCCATTTTCTACATAATTGAAATAAAAGGATACTTTTTGTAATAGGAAAAACTACCTTCACAATTCACTTTTGCTTCCGTAGGAAAAATATTCTTTTTAGTATTTCATATTCCATTTCATTATAAAAATATAATTTATAAAATTTTCCATCATTAGCAATATCAGAAAAAAAGCTAATCATTTGTGTTTATGTTTAGAAGGGCACAGATTGACATCTAGAATAATTCCATCGTCTATTTTACCTCCGAGTTATAAAAATGAAGACTGTCTATTTTACTAGAGAGCACTGAAAAGATATATTTATTTAAGCCAAAATAAGCTGTACTTCAAAAGCCAGGGATGTTTCCTCAGTTCCTTTTAAATTTACTGTAAATTTTAAATCATGACATGTAACTGCCACAGAAATCTCATCCAGAAGAAAATATGATCTGAAAGAAGTTTGTCTGAGTCCTCAAAACAGCTGACTATGGCCTGGGGATAACAGATTGTCAAAAAAATCATTTTAGCTTCTACATTTTCCCTTATAAATGAAATACAATGACAAGAAACTGAGTTGGCAAGTGTTACATTCAAGGAACTACATATCAGAAAAAGAGGTATATGTAAGGCCTCAGGTGTTCGTAATGTGCAGGAGCCAGTATAATATTTGATTGTGATCAGTTCCGCAGCATCCATTTCTCACACTTCTGTTTCTAGAGGAGTTTTTGAAGGTTCATGGACAAATAATTTTTTGGAGCAGTGATAGTTTTTTTCATATCTTTTCATATCTGGCAGATTTTTAGATTCAATGCCTATTTTGTTTTCTAGGGTACATAAAAATGACACCTGCTAAACATAAGGCCTAAAATCTGACTACTTACCTATTTCTTACAGCGAGCAGGAGATGCAGTCTCTTTAATTTAAATTTCAGATTACATACAGTGTGTATATTACAATGACTGTTAAAACAGTAACAAATTGCCAGTTCTTTGGCATTTATAAATAGGGTAGACCATCCAAAATCGTTAATATAAAAATATTGGCAACAAGATTCTGTAGAAATTAAGAGCCAAAGCAAAATGGCATATTCCAGGCCTGAAAAATCTTCTACTCTGAAGATACTATAAGCATCAATGTAATATTAATTCCAATATGCTGAGCCCAGAATATCACACAATTAATGGTCAATTTTGTGACTGCTTATTTAGAATTGTAATCAATTCCCCAATAATTTATACATTTCAAGAATAATTATCCTATTATCTGTTTACTAAATGAAAAACCACAAGTAATTATGAATGTTTTAAAACATTCCGCATACAGCATTTGAAAAATCGGTTTAGGCCCTTAAATTTTCCTCATTAATTTTTACCTCTCCCTCTCCACAGATCTTCACAGGTTATGTTTACGTGAGACATTGATCATTCTGGAAATGGGAAAATAGATTTGAATGTCGCAATGTGATAATCTTGATGGCAGCATCAACTGAAATTCTCAACCAAGATACTTTTTGCAATACTAAAATTTTTCTTCTAACTGATTTACCTGTTAAACAGATGAAAAAATCAATTAGGATAGTTGTTATAAGAATTAACCAGATACCAATTTAATAGGCTACAGAAATTTTAAAAAATAATCCCTCCTTACAAGTCCAGATGCAAATTACAAAAAAGAATATTAATGGGTAGCAGATAAGAAAGGAAAGGCATAATTCTTCAAGTTACATATGGTGATTTTGACATTATCTGATCTTCAAAATTGAGCAGTCATAATATCTAGAATCCAGAAATTCTTAATAGTTTCACAGAAGACACAATGCAAGAATTCAGATCTAAAATGACTAGCTATTAGCACCAAGACACTATTCATAAGCAACAGTTATTAATAACGTAATATTTTTACACGTGGTTTACATTAAATATTGGTAGTTCTCCTGAGCCATAATGAATGAACGTGCTCAAATTTATGATAATTCAGTTCAACAGACACTAAGACACTTAACAATCACAAAAGCTTTTATTAGTCATTTTTCTATCTTCCAAATAATTAGAAGAGTGAATGGAAATTGGGGAAACCTGAACTGTTGTGGAGTCAGATACTGAATCATCTATTGTAGTTAAAGGAAATAGATTATTTCAAAGAAGTGAGACAGATTTCCAGCAGCACAGAAGACACATAAAAATAATTGCGTTTACTCTGCCTTTTTGTTTTTAAGTATCTGATAGACAGGCATCTGCAGATCTTCAATAGTTTCTGCAATTGGTTTGTTCAGGGTTTCTGGAAGTAGAAGAGTCAGAAAACCAGCTGATAACCCACTGATTCCAAAGACTCCAAATGGCACAGAGGGACCAAGAGATTTCTAGAAGGAATCAATTAAATTATTTGTTATGAAATAATATAATTAGGTAGATAAGAGTTATTTTAAAAGTCTTCATTGAATTGCAGTGATATATAAATAGGATATATAAATGAATGAATGCATCACCTTGTTTTCTAATACATATTTAGTACATATTGTATATTAGAGTTTTGTGAAGTACAGAAAACAGTCTCCTCCAAAAAGTCAAAGGGACAATAAAGAACAAACATGACAATTCAGTACCAGAATTCAAAGTGATGAACATATCAATCTCCTTCCTTCTCACATTCTGAGGATTTTTCTTAGAATAATTCCCCTTCTTATAAACCAGTGGTGGGATTAAAAAAAAATTACTATCAGTTCTGTGGGCATGGGTTGGTGGGCATGGCAGGGGGAGGATAATGTAAAATCCCTACCAATCCGCTGGGACTTGGGAGGCAGAAAATAGATGGGGGCGGGGCCAGTCAAGAGGTGGTATTTACCGGTTCTCCGAACTACTCAAAATTTCCGCTATCGGTTCTCCAGAACTGGTCAGAACCTGCTGAATACCACCTCTGCTATACACCATATACAATTATACTGCAGGAGAAGAGAAGGAAGAACTGGGGGCAGAATTAAGCATATAATCAGCTTAAGAGTTGTTACGTTTCCACATACAGGCCCTTTCTGGATTCTGCTGACCCTTATCTGGTGCCAATTTAGTCTTTAACTTTAGTTGCCTAGATTCCTATGCATAGGCTTGAATAATGCTTTTACGCTACAACTTTACGGGATGATCCTGATATTCTACACATGATATATACGTAAATAATTTATGAACAAGAAACCAAGTATATTTCACATCCAATTAATTTATTCAGAAGTTGTGACAGAATAAAGACCAAGTTGTTGGTAATTCACTGCTGAAAAGCAGAGAAATGAAAAGCTCCAAGGGTTTGAGAATGAGGAAAAGATCAAGAGTAGAGATTTGAGGAAGGTTTTCTGCAAATAAATTCAGGGGCAGAAAATCTACTTGCTATATAGAAGCCTCTCCGATCAGCTGTCCCTACATTCAATTCCTTGCTCAGATCCAAACTAGACTGATGGTCTATAATTGGATATCTTGAAAGGTTCGTTTTTAATGTAAAAAGTAGTCAGAGGGGAGGGGATGTCAAAATTGGAACAAAACCAAAAGGGTAAAAATGAGACATTTAATTCTTTCCTCTCTGACATATTTTCATCTGCCATGACACCTCACTCTACTGTCAAGCCTCACTGGCTAACCCTTTGGCCATACTACATCTACACCAATGGTGGGGTTCAAAATTTTTACTACCGTTTCTGTGGGTGTGGACAGGGCAAGGATACTGCAAAATCCCCATTCCCTCCTGATCAGCTGGGACTCGGGAGGCAGAGAATAGATGGGGGCGGGGCCAGTAAGAAGTGGTATTTACCGGTTCTCCAAACTACTCAAAATTTCCGCTACCGGTTCTCCAGAACCAGTCAGAACCTGCTGAATACCACTTCTGGTCCACGCCGACTTTCAACTTCCCATAAACATAAGAAGGCTATGCATTTTATATGTTCATCTAAATCTTAATCAGACTTATTCAAAAGTACTTTGAATATTTACCAAAGAAATACTTTTAGTCACATATATATCATGATACAAATACTAGTAAAATATATAAGCCCCACAACTATCACATTAGAATTATTGCATGTGATCAATCTTGTTAATTGATTTGAAAGTTTGATTAAACAGGATATACTGCAAGATGGCATTACTTACCAAGGAAGGAACAAATGGAGCCAAAATTCCTCCAAACCTACAAACCATTGAGCATACACCCAAACCAGCATTTCTGTTTTATAAAAGAAATACCAGTTAGTATTTATCCAAAGGAAAAATAAGACTAATCTACAGATTCATGCTAAATAATGCATTGTAGTTTTTAATTGAATTTAGCTTTTAAACTGGATCAATCTCGCTTTGTGATCTTATATCACCATCCTATTATTTCCTCCACACATAATATTGTTCAATATTATCAATTGGAAAAATATTGTTTATACTTCAAGAATTTCCTTGAATAGAAATAATGAAACTTCAACGCTTCCTCTACAGATTCTATAGAGACACCTGAGATGGTCTTGCTCGTCTGTCTGAAAAGATTTGAACTCGTTACTCCTAAAAAAGTGAACAGGGATCTCAGAGTGCTGAGCTCAGCCACCTATCTTTTAGAATAGTGTTGGCGAACCTTTTCGGTATCGACTGCCAAAATGGGAGCATGTGCCCATGCTGAAAACTGGAAGAGCAGCTGCCTGGTGCGCATACGTGCATGAGGAAGATGCTCTGACAGGTTTCTGACATGCGTAGGTGCACGGGCCAGCTGGTCTTCATTCACACCAAAAACTGGAAAACCAGGTGGCTGGTGCACATGCGCGTGCCCGAAACCAGAAAATCGTATTTCCAGCGGGCACATGTGCACTGGGCAGCTGCTCTTCCGGTTTCCAACACACACACACACACGTGTGAAGACCAGCTGGCCGGTGCGCTGGAACCCAGAAGAGCAATGGGCAAAGGTTCACGTGCCCAGAGAGATGGATCTGGGTGCCACTTCTGGCATGTGTGCCATAGGTTTGCCATCATGGCTTTAGAACCATATCCCTTCTGGCTCTCAAGCTCCATGTGGTAGTAAATGCTTCTTTGTGGGAAAGGGTGATGCCACTTGTCTTGAACGAGGTGATATCCGTCACCTCGTCAAGAAGCCATCGCTGAACTCCCGTCGATACCCTTTGGCTGATGGCATCTGCATGATGCCCAATCTGCTGGGATTGTATTGGCTGGGTAGAAACACCTGGAAAAAGGCATTCCTTCAGACAATCAACTCTTGCTTGAGGGGGCGGGAGAGGACTTTGTACAGCTTCATGCTATGCACAAATTGTTCTCATTTCTGGACTGGAAGGTCCTATTCATGGTGGCTTGTCATCTCCGAATTGGCTTAACGTGACATGCTTTATAGCACGTGTGTCAAACTCATCGCATCATGTGATGTATCACGACTTTTTTTGCCTTTGTGGAGCCGGGGTGGGCGTGGCCTGCAGGCCGCCAGTTTGACACCCCTGCTTTATAGGGCGCTTCCCTCAAAATTCATTCAAAAGCTGACACTGTTCCAAAATATAGCAGCCTGGGCACTTTCATTTCATTTCATATAATACTCATGTGATAACTGTGTTCTGGGAGACGCACAGGATTACAACAGACCACTAGGTGGCATTAAATTGCCATATTTATGTTCTTCAGTGTCCTGTGCAATAGAAAAATATTTTCAAAAGAGAAGAATAATTTCAAAATGTCCTGCAATATTACCTCAAACAACATTTTATGAATAACTAACTAAATAAATAAATGAATAAACATCAGAGACCATATTAAGGGATACCGTTAAAAGGCCCACTCAAGTCACAGAGATAATCAGCAAAATTAGATCTAGCGGTGAAGCCACCAGGCTGGAAAGCAGGAGACTGTGGGTTTTAATCCTGCCTTAGCCATAAAAGCCAGCTGGATGATTTTGGGCCAGTCACTCTCTCTCAACCTAACCCACCTCACAGGGTGGTTGTTGTGAAGAAAATAGGAGGAGTAAGGTGTATTGGATATCTTTGCTATATATCTTTGGTGTTTGTGTGTTCCAGCCTAACTTTGGAACGGCTTGAGCAATTTCAACCAAACTTGGTACACAGATGACATACTCTCTAGAAACAAATACTGTGGGGGTAAGACATCCCTCACGCCCCTCGGGGGGGGGGGTGTTCTATTAAGATACAGCCTATTGTGCCTTAAAATAGCTTTTACTATACTATCGTAAAATGGCTTCTACTGTACAGCACAGTGGAGTTGCCAGGGTAGCGGCTTCACAGTACTCCACAAGGGGGCTCTCTCTGATAAGGCAGAAAATCCAACATTAGAAATTACATTTGGTCCGGACATTTTCCCCCTATAAATAAATACCCGGACAACGCTGGGTTATCAAGTAGTACATAAATAAATGCAGATAATGTAAAACTGGATAGCTTTCTAAAAAGAAATCTGAAAGTACATGTAGAATGAAATATCCTTTCAACCATATTTTTTTGTCCTTTCTTTACATCTTGGCTTCTTCTCTCATTTCTCCTCCAACATTTTAACATTAATATGGAAATAACTATGTCATGATTTGCCATCATTCACAAGAGAAGAGGAAGCTTGATCGTTCTGAGACAAGACAAACGATATCCACTGAAGAGCACTGGGTGTTCATCTCTGGAGGCAAGAGATTCTTATAGAAGATATTTTTTACAGACAGCTTCGACATCGAATTCAGAAGTGTGAAGGTTTGTCTGCAATATGTAACTGCTGATGTGATTTCAGATGGCTTATATACATTATATATTGTGAGAATTTAAGGTTTTGGAAATAAATATAAAANTTAAAGAGCACCTGTCATTTCAGATCCATCATGGCAGCGCCTGTTAGCGGGCATCCACTCACCTGCTGCCTGCCACGTCCCTCACCTTATTGTGTCATTGCCGCATCACCAGCCATCCCATTAAAGTGAATGGGACTGTCGGTGTGTCAACAGTGGGTCAGAGGAGGAGCCACTACGGGACAGAGGTGACAGGCGCTCTTTAAAAATTATGATTTAAATCAAGTTGGTTTAAATCAAGCCTTTTTACTATTGATTTAGATGATTTAAATTTACTTGATTTAAATCAAATCCACCCTGGCAGGAGGTCATAAATGGAAATCACACGACTGCACAGGATTCACCTAACAATGATATGGGTGACTGCTGAAACTGTTGTTATAAGTAGTAGTGGCCAGATGAGGTCCCATTTTACCATTCCATTACTTAGCAATGGAGCTCTCAGTGCCAATTACCATAATTAAGCAAGGGCTATCCGTAATACATAGGGACTGGTTTCTATGTCAGTTTATTAAATTGAAATTTACGCTTACAGAACTTCTATAAGACATGAGAATTATAGGGGGAAAATATTTGGCATATATTGTTAATTTACAGTAGTGGCCAAAATTGTGGAAACCTTTGGGGAAAAGTGTATCTTTGAAGTTTGATGGATAATAACACCACTTGCTTTTGGAGTAGGACCATAAAATTACATATCAATGGAAAGATAATTTAATCACGAATGTAATGCAACAAACTTTGTTCAATTATCTGCATTCTATGAAAAGTTATACCCAAATATAGAAAGCCTTAAAACCCAGTTAACAGAAGCAATCGTTCAATCTTGATTTCACATAATAACAGCTGCAGAATTAAAAGACTTGGTTCACTCCATGGGAAGACATTGTAAGACCATAATTCATGCTAAAGGTTACCCAACTAAGTATTAACTAACGTGGTGATAATTTTTGTATATTTCATTTTTTGTATTTGTTTCACTTTTCTTTTTTATAACTGCTATTCTAATAGCAAATCCTTCAAAACAGTTATTGCATTATATTCTTGATTAAATTATCTTTCCATTGATATATAATTTTATTGTACTACTAAAAAATGTGGTGTTATTAGCCATCAAACCTCAAAAATACCGTACACTAAGCAACACAAGCACAGTTCACAGTAGTTTAAGACATTGTCATCATGACAAAACACACATCACCTGGGTACTTGAGAGACCACCTCCTGCCAATTACCTCCCATAGACCTATTAGATCCCACAGACTAGGCCTCCTCCGAATTCCATCTGCCGGCCNCTCTTTCTCTCTCTCTACCTATCTACTGTATTTTTCTCTCTCAACTTCCGGGAAAAAATACTGTGAGGATAAGACACACCTAACACCCCTCGGGGTGTGTGTTCTGTTAAGATACACCCTGTTGTGCCTTAAAATGGCTTCTACTGTACAGGGTGATAAGTAAATGGAAAAGGTTTTTGTCGCACATATGTGGTAGTTGTTCCCGACTCTAGGGTGCAGTGCTCATCTGCATTTCAAAACTGAAGAGCCAGTGCTGTCCAAAGACGTCTCTGTAGTCATGCAGTCGGCATGACTAAACGCCGAAGGTGCCTTCCCACCAAAGGTGGTCCCTATTTTTCAACTGCATTTTTACATGCTTTCGAACTGCTAGGTTGGCAGAAGCTGGGACAAGTAACAGGAGCTCACTTCGTTACACGGCACTAAGGTTTCGAACCGCCAAATTGCCAACCTTTCTGATTGACAAGCTCACTGTTTTAACCACTAGCAACACTTTATAAGATAGTGTCAGATACAAAAGGATCTTGATGCATTTGAACATTGGGCTCTATCCAACAAAATGCAATCCAGTGGTAAGAAAGATATTTTTCCCTATACATATGCATTTCATTTCGAGAAAATAAAATGCACAAGTATAGAATAGGTGGTATCTGGCTGAAGAAAAGTGGCTATGGGAAGGATCTAGGCGTCATAGTAGACAACAACTTAAGCCAGCGGTGTGCTACAACTGCCAAAAAGCTATTATAACCATAGGCTGTATCAACCGAGGGATAGTATTCAAAATCAAATGAAGTAATAGTACTGCTTTATACTGCACTGGTTAAGACCACACTTGGAATCAGGGATGGTATTCAGCTGGTTCTGATGAACTGGTAGTGGAAATTCTGAATAGTTCACAGAACTGGCAAATATTACCTCTGTCTGGCCCTGCCTCCATCTATTCACTGCTTCCCAGCTGATTGGCTGGGTCTTCTTTTGTTGCCCTGCACAGGAGAATAGACCTGGAAAGCAGGATAGTGGGGTGGGGAGGGAATGGGATTTTGCAGTATCCTTCACCTGCCACATTCACCAAGCCACGCCATGCCCACAGTAAAAAAAATTGAATACCACCACTGCTTGGAATACCACATCCAGTTCTGGTAAATCACAATGCAAACAAGATACTAAGACTCTAGAAAGAATGCAGAGAAGAGCAACAAAGATGATTAGGGGTCTGAAGGCTAAACAGTACAATAAATAGTTGTGGGAACTAGGTATGTCTAGTCTAATAAAGAGAAGGACTAGGGATGACATGCTAGGAGTCTTCCAATATTTGAGGGCTTGTTACACAGAAGAAAGGGTCAACCTATTCTCCAAAGTAACTCAGGCAGGACAAGAAGTAACACACGGTTTTTAAAGAGAGAAATTTCGTGACAGTGAAAACAATTAATCAGTGCAATTAATGGCTTGCCTCCAGAAATTGTGAGTGCTTAATCACTGGAGGTTTTCAAGAAGAGATTGGACAATTACTTGTCCAGAGTGATATGGGGTCTCCTGTTCAAGCAGGGGATTGGACTAGAAGACCTCCAAGGTCCTTTCCAACCCTATTATTCTATATCCTTTCGTAAAAATAAAAAGAAGTGTGAGATGTATGAAGTCATTTTTAAAAATCTTCGTTTGTAACAGCATTTCTGAGCAGATTTGATACATTTATCTATGCTGAAAATGTATATAAACTAATTAACATATAGAAATAAATTCAAGAGTTACATGTTACTCTATACCATGTTATCTAAACATAGAAACAGAAAGTTATTGATCTTACCAAGATTTCTCAATGAAAAACATGCAAAGTGGAAATGCTGGAACTTCTACGAGACCAGAAAGAGCCACATTTAAATAAAGATTTCCTCCTAATTCACCGGCATTCAGTGTTAAACCGTAATATACAAAGCTGCACACATACCTAAAGGTATTAATGAAAGATTGGTTATTTTAAACATGTATACAGATCATGTAAGCTTTAATTACTTGTATACTAAATGAAAACAAATAGACAATAGACAAATACCAGCTTATGAAGCAGTGAAGTTATAAATCATGTACTAAGTATGGTATTTTTAATTCCATTCAATTGTGTCCAATTTTGGAGACTGCTTGGACGAGTCCCTGCAGATTTCTTGGCTAGGTTTTTAATTGGGTTGCCAATGACTCTTTCTATGAGGCAGAAAGTGATTTGCCCAGTTGGTTTTGAGTCCAAGGCAGGGCTAAAACTTACAGTCTCCCAGTTTCTAGCCTGATGTCTTAACCATTAACCAAACTAGCTCTGTGAATGTTTGCATACCTTCACAAAGTTTGGAAATTATTTTTTCCACTAGAATTTGGATTAGAAAATCAGTGGATAGAAATAAACAAATTTGCCATACATTCATGTATGTTTGTTATCATAGACTATTCTGGTTTTATTTCAAGGCAAAGGATGCTATAACCTGAATGATTCAGATCACTGGTATTTGATCCAAAATCTGACTGTTTAAAAACAAGTGCAAAATGGTTACACAAATGTTTGTTCGCTGACAACGATCAAACAAGAAATTGTTTCTGACTGATTTCTTTTTAGGTGTTTTTAAAATCTGAAATCCATTGACAAAAATGATTTTTTTTTTTCTGGGGTGGCTTAAACCAACATGGGAAGACCAAAAAAGAGGTTTTGACAGCCATCAAATAACAGGTATTCCAACCATTGCATCACTACTTCTCAACTGTAAATCAACCTCTATAAGAATTCTTCAAATACACCAATAAGTGCTGTAAATAATAGCTTTAGACATCCAGTAGAAATTCTGAGGAAATATCAAAATGTTAAGGATATCAGTTTTCATTTCAACTAGCTGCACAACATTTAGTTCATTCGTGTTTTCACATTTCTGCCATTTCTAGTAGAGATTAAGGAAAAGCCTTTATCCACAAAAGGAAAAAAGACAAGTGTATGAGATAGGTTTCATTTGAAATAGCTCAGCAGGGGTAATTGCCTATTAATTATTCTTATGTTTCTGGCTCATTAGTTTAAATTTGTTTTACCTGATGATCCCTGAATTCTAATAAGTCACACTAAGTCCTGAAAACCTGTTTATTCCTTTTATAGCCTGCTGCATTATACAGTCCTCTTTTCTACTACCTTATTCTGAGAAGAAACCATTATAGTTAGTTAGTTAGTTGTAGTTTTATAGTTTTATTGATTTGTATGCCGCCCACTCCCGAAGGACTCCGGGTGGCTTACAATAAAACAAGGGAGGGGGAATAATACA